AATACAGCATGATGTTCATTTAGTACATTATGGTCCATTTAGAGTCAAACAGACCATAAAGCAGGGGATGCTTTAGGGCGGGGCTACACGCTGATTGACAGGTAGTTTTCGTCTTAGAACTTTAACCCTTTCAAAGTGTGTTTTAAATTTATGAAAGTTAATTGTAACGGTCTACATTCCCCTCTAGCTCAGTTTAGGACGTGTCAGGGACGACGTGTCAATTTATTCTTGTAACATGTTTAGTGTCTTTTCAAATTAAACTTCCAATGTAGGCTTAAAGACCTTTACACACCTAGAAGTGACTAATAAACAAATAAACAAAACAGTCTTTTACCCAGGAGACTGTTGTTTGTGTCCCATGTGAAACGAAAGATCAGGGTTCATTTATTTGGCACGTACTTAACACCACTTCTAAAGTTATAGTACCCAAACAACAGTATTTTACTAAACCTAACTGAGTTGTTTCCTGTGAAGACAGAAGTTTATTTTGAAAAGACTATTCATGTCACGAGCAAACATTGACACGTGTTGCTGGACTTTTGTAGGAAACCCGCAAAAAATGAAGAGTAACTTTTTGTCAGAGATCAAACGTTGACATCAAAACCAAAAATAGTTTCAGTTGTCTGCAGTCTCTCTACTTTTAGTTACAATTTCAACTATTTATGTCTCAACTTATCGGCTTGTTAGTTTATCTCTCAACAGCTGGTGTTCAGGTGTTACAGCTCACTCAGGGTGAGTAGTTATTATATTTGTTAACTTTTCCATATTAGGTGAGCTGCTTCATTATTCCCTGAACCCCTAAAGCAGGAAGAACCTCAGTGAGAGAATCACAGATTTAAACTGTGGTTGTGTTCTCCAGAAGAAAGCAGCATCACTGAGTCAAATGAGACAGACGTGTGGACCAAAGAGGCCTTCAGGAGCCCTCGTTCTTCTGGGTGCTGACGCCAAAATGATCCTCTGCAGACAGGAAACGATGACACCACGTCCACGAGGAGGAGTAGGAGTATGAGTATGAGGAGGAGGAGGAGGAGGAGAGGATTCAGATCACTACAGGCTGCAGTCGTTGGACGGTGGAGCTGTGAGACGCTGTGGACGACAGCTGATGGGTGAGACGACAAAAACTGAACTTTTACACCAAACAGAGAGACACTATAGAATGGAATTTAATCTATATTTGGGATCTTTTCTCATGGATAAGTGTCTTTAGTGGTGCTTGTACATTTGGAAATGTGTGTTTTATTGTAAGACTCTAGGGTCCTTAAAGTCCCCTAAACTATTAATCTTAAAGTTTAAGATCAGCAGCAGGGAGTTAAAAACTACAACTTCTTTCATTTTATATTAATTCATGTTTTAAAGTGCTTTAAAAAAATATCAGCCTCACGAGAAAATACAAAAGTTGGTTGTCTGCGTTTATTCTTCTGTTACAAGTAAACTAGATTTAATCAAATGTTCCTTATAATATGGAAAATATGTCGTTTAATGGGATTGAAGTATAATCTCCTAAATCTGGGGGAAACTGTGTGAATTTAGAATAAATCTAAGTTATTCTTTAAAATAAAAAAGTCAGCTAAATAAGATGTTGCATTCAGTTTAAATAACCAGATATTAAATTTAAAGAATTAGAGACACATGAACTCTCAGCTTTCACATTTAAATTCATCATGAAACAATTACATTTAATCTCCAAGACTCTTAAATGCCTGATTGAATTAATAAATCAATATAATTTATGATTTAAAAAACAAACATAGTTTGTAACCTGATGTGATTTTATGATTTATTCTAAAATTATTAAAATGTAACTAATTACTAATTACATTTAATTACTAATTACTATCTAAAATTTATTCTGTTCTGTTAAAGCTTTTATTTACATGATGTTTGTAAACACAACAGAAATGTCTTTAAATATAATCAGATGAGAAACACAAACATGCTAATGTACCTTATACATCACTTCAATGTGAATAAACCTGAAAGTCCTTTCATTATAATTATTGTTGCGACATAATTCATGTGTTTTTTTAATCATTATTATAATTAAACGAAAACACATGTTGTGTTCACGAACATGTTTTATTCGATCATTATTTAACCTCATTGATCCTCATCTAGTTCCTTTATTTATTATGGAAGCTGAAGACATATATGTTTTAATAAAACTACATGTATGCTATTATATTTTTATATTATATTTTAAATGTTCATACCTCTTAAATGCATATAAACAAGACCTGCAGCTGGTTTCACATTATGTAATGAAAGTTAATTTTCATTGAACGCACACTTTGTGTTTTTGCAGCATTGATGAGGCAGAGATCACTTTTATAGATTAAGAATGATAATCAATAACTGATAATAAATCGATAATGGCGCTGTTATTCAGTCTCGTGTATCCGCCGCGCAGAGCAGAGCTACGGGGAGGTGAACCAGCTCGGCGGGATGTTCGTTAACGGAAGGCCGCTGCCCAACCCGGTGCGGCTGCGGATCGTGGAGCTCGCGCAGCTCGGCATGCGGCCCTGCGACATCAGCCGCCAGCTGCGCGTCTCCCACGGCTGCGTGTCCAAGATCCTGGCGCGCTACCACGACACCGGCTCCATCCTGCCCGGAGCCATCGGGGGCAGCAAGCCGCGGGTCACCACCCCGGCCGTGGTCGACAGCATCCGGGACTACAAGCAGGGCGACCCGGGCATCTTCGCCTGGGAGATCCGGGACCGGCTGCTGTCGGACGGGGTGTGCGACAAGTACAACGTGCCGTCCGTGAGCTCCATCAGCCGGATACTCAGGCACAAACTAGGGGCTGTTTCTCCGCCGAACGAGAGCAGCAAACCGGGCCCGGCTCAGCTCCAGTACGGACACGGTGTCTACCCGTACTCCTACACCACCGGGCCCACAGTGATGAGCCACACCGGGACCAGGACCGGCAGCGGGCACCCCGGACACGTCGGCCTGCCGCGGGGCTGGCACAACATCCTGGGCATCCGAGCCTTCATGGACCCGACAGGTCGGTGGAGATACTTTAAAAAACACTTTTGCAAAACCTTTCTCACTTTATTGCATCACGTTATGATTATGTATCTGATTAAACTTGATTCATGTTTACAATGAAGACGAATAGCCTCAATAAAGTAAAATATTCTAAAACTTCGATTGATCATTTAAGATCTCACTGTAGTGGTTAAAGCAAAGTTATGTTTGTTTTATTTGAACGTTTTTAAAGATCATAATAAAACTCAACTAATTTAGAAGCAAAAAAAGACAATATTCTAGTTTGAAGATTAAAAAAACAGAGTTTAATTTACACCAAAAATATAGTCTGTAGTTTGTTTTTAAATTACAAGATTTCTTTTAAAGAGATATTTATTTATTTATTGTTCGTTTAAAAGTATTCAAACTTAAATATATTGAATTAGCCAACTAAATATCGAGAAAGAGAAGAAACATTAAAATAAACAAAACATCAAATCATATTTGGTTGAAAAGAAAGTTAATGCCGCAAGAAATAACATAATTCATAGAAAGCTATACAATAATATGAATAATAATTGAAGTATTTTTTTATAACTCTTGTTTTAATGCACTTGTCATTTTAATTACGTCTGTTTTAAATGAATCTTCCTTGCCTATAATCACATATTATTATATTGGGATTTTTGAGCCCATATTATTTTTGAAGTTTTTCATAAATTCTTGTGTTTATAATGTTTGACATTAAATCAGCTGCTCGTGCTTCTACTCTTTCATTTAGTTTTATTCCACACACGATATTCATGATTTCTGATTCTCCTCATATACAAACTTACAGAAGTGTAACTGTACCAGCGCTGGTTTATTTGAACCCTGAAACAATATCATCTTCATCTTAATGTCAGACATTGTTGAGACCTACAGAACTTTACACATGTTTGTATATAAAGACAGATAAATATGAGTTATCCAATCTGCTTATTAAAACAAGTAAATATTAAAGAAAGTTAGAACAACAAATGATGAGCTTATACAATAAAGGTTCTCACATGCAGTTTTATGGCCTTTATGACATCCAGACACTAAAAATGTCACTGAATACATTTGAAGTTTGCAGGTCTGCTCTGTATAAAATATCTAATATATTTTACTGTTTTTCTAATATATTTTCGTCCCTCTTTATTTGTTTTGTTACATTTTTGTTATCATGACATGTTCATCAGTCTGAAATTGTTTTTGTTTATAATCTCTGTCTTAAAATCAGTTCAGCATCTAAATCTTTATGGGAAATATTAAAGTGGGCAAAAACAATGATCGAGAGGATATGAAGAAAGTTTGAATGAATTAAAATCTTTTTGTATTCACCTGTGGTCTGCAAAAAAAAGACTTTTGTTGAGTACAAAAAAATCTGGATATTTCCATTATTTACTATTTATTTCATCAGAATTTTCTCAAGTAAAACAGGAAACATGTCCCGTAAATAAATATATTTGAATATTGAATACATGGTTTGAACTGGACGGATCTTTTGTCAAACTAACAGCTGCAGATGAGCCCAAAATGTCAAATGAATAATTGTTAATTCAGTGTCAACGTTTTCTTTCTCAGCTCTGTGTGGACCTGATGGACACTCAGCTAAAATGGAGGACTGGACCAATTTGAGCAGTTTGAGCAGCAGCAGAGCGTTTCCCTCTGGAGTCAATGGAGCGGAGAAAACCCACCACGAGCCGGACATCAAATACCATCAGCAGGTTAATAACATATACATGAATTAATAAGTGATGGTAAAGGAAACAGAAAAGTAAAATGAATCCGTCCACTAGAGAAAAGGTTCAATTAAAGAGGGATTTATATTATATTAAATTAAATATGTGGTAGAATTCAGAACTCAATTTGATAATAAAGTTATTAAACAGACAACGGCTCAATTTATACAAAAATACTTTATACAAAAACCTTTTTTAAATGGAAAATCAAACGTAAGATTCTTATTTCTATTTTGTTGAGCTGTTTTTCTTCCATCTGTTTTTATTTTGTGGCTCACATGAGACATTAATGTAACCAGAGCTCTGATTGGCTGTCATCGAGGCCCACTTCCTGTTTTACAGCTGGTTTATAGGAGTAAACTACAAACAGACTGTGGATCAGTGTTAAACAGAGAGTCGACAGTATACTGATGATGCTATTCTATTCATCAGTGAGTAAAATAAAGGCTGAGTTTGTAGTCGACTTTAACGTTTAATGAACCCTGAGATCTGATTTTAAAAAGGTGACAAATCAGTGGATCAGAACCCATGTTGTGTTGGTTGTATGTTTGTGAGGACCAATTTGAGTTTTGGACGTGAGAAGTGATGACGATTTGTAGAAAAGAACGTTTGGAAAAGACATTTGTGTGACATTTTTGGAAAGTGTTGACATTTTATGTGAAAGTGAAGGCAAGTTTGAACTTTTTTGTGCATTCGTGGACACTTTTTGAAAGTCTGGATATTTTTGGACACTTTTGGAAAGTTTGGATATTTTAAAACAATGAAGATATTGTTGGTCATTTTTTGAAAGTGAGGATTGTTTGGATGGTTTTTGAAGGTTTAGACACTTTTTTTTTCAGTTGGATTATTTTTGGACAATTTTGGAAAGTCAGGATTTACTTTTTTGTTTTTAAACATAAAATTCTTTGGGATTCAAAGATATTTTTGTGAAGTGAGGACTTTAAAAAAAAAAAAAGTGGACATTTGGGCAACATGATAGCCGAATGGTCAGGGCGTGAACCACATGGGCGCCCTGAGCAGTGAGTCACCGGTTTGATTCCCGGCTGGCTGGACCGTTCACTGCATGTTTGGTGATTCTCTCGTCCCCACATGTCTCCACTAACACTGTAAAATACAGGCATCAAATGCCCAAAAGATATGAACTTTTTGTGGATTCGAGAAAATATGAGTTATAAATTATATCGGAAATTTTGTTTTGGACAGGATCATTTTCCAGAGTGAGGACGTTTTTAGATTTGAAGACATTCATGAAAAGTAAAGACATTCGGGGGGTTAAAACTTTAGGATTACTGTTAGAATAAGATTCAAGTTAAACTTTAAGTTAAGAAGGTAAAGTTCTGTTCCGTGAACAGTTTCAAACATATAGATTAATTGTTCTTTCTAAATTGTTTTTTCCCCCTCAGTCTTCCTCCAGTCTGCCTGGTTACGTCTCAGCTTGTGCGTATTCTCCACCGCACCAGTACGGCATGTACGGAGGTCCAGCAGCCAACTACGTGAGCACTGGACACCACTGGCAGCCCCAGTCCTCCAGTCTCACTCCCAGTCTCACTCCCAGTCTCACTCCCAGTGTCACACAGAGTCCTGCAGATTTTAACCCTGCAACATCATTTAAACTTCCACAGAGAGACGGTGAGACTGATTTCAACACTTGTTTCAATGACGATAACCTGATAGATCCTGATCATTCAGTTTAACATCAATATCATGTTTTTTGACATTTCTCTGTCCCACAAAATCCCAGTTATTCCTCCAGACCTGTGTTGATATATTCCCAGTTGTATTTCAGTCTTCAGACACTGAAGAAGAAGTAGAATCACAGAACAGTCGTCTAAAAAGCTGCAGTACTTTCATGTTTTAAGCTATAAAAACACATTTATGTTCTGCTAAATGCTGCGTTTCTCTGCTCAACAACCACTAATGTTTGTGTGAAACAAGGGTGAGTTTAAAACGGTCACAAATTACACAGAGGAGAAACTGGTTTAGGAAAAACAAAGTCTAGTTTGCACATTGCTGAAGCAGTAAATACAGATTATTATAAACCATATCTGCAGGCTGAATGGTGAGAGGTGTAGAAAATTCACCTGCATATACACCTTCAATATATGTCTTTTTAAAGCTTTCTTCAGTAATATAAAATATTTTATTTCAGTTCTTAAATTACGGCGAGTTTGTTTTTCCGTCCTTCATAAACAGGAAAAGTTCAGAATAATTATCACAAATCTGATCTCCAACCAGCAGCTTCAGGCCTCATTACAGCTGCTGATAAACACACAGAACCAGATAATAATCACCTGAGTTCAACGGGTCCGAGTTTAACATTTTTCTTTTTCTAATCTCCTGTGATATCACTATGATACACACCTTTTATACTTAACACATTCATTCAAATTGATTCACAGCAACATGGGAAATAAAAACCAATAAAAAGTAAATATACAACAATGACCTTTTAGCCCAGTTCATGCATTCCCTATGAAAACAAATACAAAGGTGATTGTCTTAACAATTCTAGTAAACATTTTTATTTCAATATTTTTGTAATTGTCAATTAACCTCATCTTCCACCAAAAGTGAACATATCAACTAACAAGTTGTGTGTGTTTGTATCACAGCCTGATATCTCTTCTTCCTCTGAGCCATAGAACTCTATTCAAACACAGCAGTGATCATCACTGTTGTTCCTTCATCACCATGAACACACTTGTAGTTAATTCTGACTCAATCCCACAACAAATACTCACTAGAGCACGAAATGTGGATTCATCCGCCGCTGAAAATAGTCCCCAACAAAAGCATTATTTCCTCCTGTTTGTTTGGTTAAAAACCTAAAAACCTTTGTTAAAGCCGTAACAAAAATGTACATCTGAGACACGACAATGATGATGAATTATTTCCTCCCTGTCGTTTTCTCCGCAGAGGACCGAAAGCCTCAGAGTCCTCTGTACAAACACCACAGATTGTCTTCAACATCGTGACGACTCTGAGGAAACACGAGAAGACGTTTGATGCGACGCTGAAAGACTAAAAGTCAGGTTTTGTTTCTGAGGAGAGTCAAAGAGAAATGTTACTGCTGCAGAAGAAGAACTGAAGGAAACATTCTCCTGACTGTTAAAACTCTTCCTGATCGACTCCTTTCAGGATTTTATCTAGTGATTTGTTTCTGTTTCCCAGGATGAGCAGCACACAGACATGTGGTGAAGGAAGAAATACACCAAATGCAACAGAAATGTAAAATACATCACCTTTGTTTTTTATATTTTAACAACAAAAACTGTCCGTTTTTTTCTCTCACAGTTTTAAAGCAATACATTTTACTTTCTTGAAGAGTTAGATGAGAAGATCGATATATCACTCTCATGCCTATCTGTTGAATATGAAGCTAGCCGCCGTTTTACTTAGCTTAGCATAAATACTGGAAACCGGGCGAAACAGCTGTCCAAAGGTAGCAAAATCCGCCTATACCCTCACTTCCACCACTCACTAATTAACTAATATATCTTGTTTTACAATTTGTTTTGGCCGGACACAGTTACTTCCTGGAGTCTCCCCTGCTCAGATACAATTAATAGTCTTGCACATAATCACCTCTGAAACAGCAAAATAGTTGTTTTTACACTTTGGTTTTAGTTCCCGTTAATTGATTAATTAATTGACCCTTCGCTAAGCCCCGCCCCCCACTGCTTTTCCGTAAAGCTGTCATGGAGCCCACACTGTCACTAACTGCAATCCCTGAGTAAATATTATCTAATTCTTGGGAAAATAAAAAGAGAAGCAGACAGAAGGTTCTATATTATGTGTTTGAAGGATGTCAAACTGATTCATCAGTGAAAACAGGTTAAAAAGATAAAGATAGAAGCTAAAGCTAACAGTGTTAAAGTGAACCACCACATCACCTGGAGCTCGAGACAAAAGACAGTGAAATTAAGAAAACAACACTGTTCCTATTTATTCACTGTTACAATCATTAAAATACAATCAGTATACCTTCAGTAGCTAGCGTAGCATAGACGTTCTAACGCTAGCTAATGATGTGCTAACGTACTCTGCTAATATTAGCTTCACAGGTAGAAACATAACGTTTTAGAAATGTAACGCTTTAAAGTTGTTTGTAGCTATAATTTGTTACCTTTGGACATACTGGCTGTTTCCCCTGTCTTTATGCTAAGCTAAGCTAACTGGCTGTAGCTTCATATTTAACAGACAAACAGAAGAGTGGTGTCGATCTTCTCATCTCACTAAAGCAAATAAGTATATTTCTCAAATTTGTCAAACTTGTTGCTTGAATCTTTCTTCCATATTTTGTTTTCATGAAACATTTAAATTGCGTTGGAATTGTATCATCTTGTAAAATATTTTGGTAAAACTGTAAATATATTTTTCTATAAACATGCTTAATAAAGACATGCGATAGAAAATGTATGTCGGTGGTATTGAGTTTTCCAGATGTTTAAGCAGAGCAAAGATTGATAAATGGTTAAATGTAATCATGAATACATTGTTTTGCAGAATCCCCCAATATAATATAATTCTGGCGCCAGTGTTGATGTATAATAAATCGTATTTTGTTACCCTTCCATTGAAGCTAACGGCAGCTAATCTCTACTGCCATGTGAACTTTATAGCTCTATGTTAAATAATCAAACTACCTCAAACAAAGCAAATCTTACAGATGATATTGATCTTTTTTTATATGGACTCTTACAAACTGGTCATAGCTTTACCCAACTAAAAAGTCAAAATGTTCAAAATTATTTTAACCAAATTACAAGAATCCCATACAAAAATACAGAATGTTCATGATAAATAATATTACTTATATGCGAAATGTCCCGAAACACACATGTGACTGTATTGTAAATGTATTTCTCATTCGACCAGCAGTAAATGTATTAATATTACATTAGGAAGTTGGTGTTTTTGTGATATTTCACACGTGAACTACCCCATGCCCCTTTATCTAATTTATCACATTTGAAATGGTGTTCCACATGTGATACAAATGTGAAATGTAATGCTTATTTTTGTCTAAACTCTTTAGTTTAATATAACAAACAAGTAAACAGCAATTCAGCAAAAACCAAGAACTCAAAAGTCCAGTTTTAGACTCATTGCAGGTAAGAAGGCGAAGCTTCCAGCAGGTAAACAAACAAAAGGCGTAAGATGATCCATCAGCAAACAGCTCAAAGTAAACATCCATTAATACCTGAGCAATCTGACTGGTGCTGAGACTGACAGAGCAAACACCAGGTCTTTGTTTAAAACGGCCTCTTTAGGAAGCGTTTGAGTCATTGAGGAAGCCGGTTAAATCCTGATTCTCTTCTCTGTGATCTGCTTTGTGTTGCTCAGTGAGTCCTTCTGCCTGGAAACGTCCACCTGGACTCACTTCTGGGACATTAAAGGATCAGTTTATTGGGTCTAATTTTCATAGTTTTTCCCATCACTCCTATTAGTTATAATGAAAATGTTCTCATCAAGTTAATTTCTGAGATCTAAGGGAATGGGGCGATGCTAGGTTTTGGTGATGAAACACGATCAGACAAACAACCAGATAAACTGCAAATGTTTTTGGAAAAGAGAGAAGGTCAACAATAACATTAGAGTTTGTGTTTTGCACTTGTACTGCATCTTTAACAGCTAGATTAGATCTTGTGTCTGGTAGTTGTACTGCATCTTTAACAGCTAGATTAGATCTTGTGTCTGGTAGTTGTACTGCATCTTTAACACCTGGATTAGAGCTTGTGTCTAGCAGTTGTACTACACTTT